AATTTACTTTGTATTTCCTTATATATAAATTTAATAAAGTTACTGGCAGTGCCACATCGTTAAAAAAAAAAAAAAAATAATTTTTAACTAAAATATTTTATATAATATATATATTAAAAATAAAATATATTTTCATAATATATAATATATAATTTTTATTAAAATTTATTTAAAATATATATACATATAATATAAATATAAATTTTAACAAAACTTAAACAAGCTCAACAAATCTTAACAAAACTTAACGAAATTGTAAAGGTGAATTATTGTTCTTTATTAAAGCTAGTTCTCTTTAGAAGAATACTTAGAAGCATAATGTCTTGTTTAGTTACATAAATGGTATTTATGTTCTCCTTCAATTCTCTTCTCTTCCCTAGCCTGCACTTTTGCTTTACTACTTTCTTCATTAAATGATTTTAAACGTTTGGCAGTAGGTCTACCTTTACCTTTACATATTAAAGAGTTTTTAATATTATCAGCATTATATATATGACCATCAGCTAAGCTCATAATATTTTCTGAAATCAGATCTTCTGCTACAATTCAAGCTTCAGCTTTTTTTTCTCTTCCTTTTTAGCAATGTAAGCTAAAATAAATTCATTTAAGTTTGTTTGATCATTATCTTCTATTGAATAATTCAGCATCTTCTTAAAATTTTTCATAAGTCTACCATATTTTACTTTTTTTTGTACATGATAATGAATTTCAGCTTTTTAAACATTATTATAATACTTAAAAAAAATATTCTGTGTATGGTTATCACTTAGATATTTTTGAGATGATATTTCAGTAAATGGTTCTTTAGAAATAAGATTAAGATTTTTTCATAATTCATTTCAAAATTATCTTGTTAGTATTAGTATTACATGTAATAATGCATTTGTATTCTCTACCATTAACTTGAAGTAATGACAATAAATAATTTTACGTGAAACTAAAAACAAATATGTACACAAATGTGTATTATTTTCTAACATAATAATATGTTAATAAGATTTTGATAATATATATAGGTTAATTTGCTATACCTCTTTAATTATATTTGTTAGATCTGAGTTTATTAATACCTATAAGTATGTCTGCTAAAAGTCATAATAATCTTCGATTGAATCTTAATTTTGATTATCTATATTTTAATGTAAATATCAAAATATATTAATAATATAACAATCATGTTTACTACCATACATTAGAAACTATATTATTATCACAAATTTATCACTTGATTTTCATTTTTATTATTAATATTCATTATATTAATAAGGTCTTCCTAATCCTAAAAAATTTGAGACTTATCAAATACTACTGATTTCTTTAATATTCTAATCATTAATTTCTTTAACACTTAATTGCTGAACTAATACACCTTTTCTATTATATATATACTATTTAATCATTACTAAACTTAATTGTAATTTAAATCTCTACTTTTCTATATTGATAAAATATTAATTCACACATTTGATTATAAATTTCTTTCACAATTCGTGATAAAAGATGTTTTTGGATTTGTTTCTCAATATTGCTGAATAGTCTCTCTATAATAAATGACTGATAATATGTTAATATCTTGTATTTCTATATTATGAAAAATACGTTTAAGAATTCTTTTTGCATTCATAAATCAACAGCTTCAACTACATTAATTATATTTGAGCTAGAAGCAACAGTTTATGAATAAGAGCATTAATTGATTCTACTCACTAAGTTGATTGCATTTCTGCAGTAAATATTCTATTTATGAAATAACAAGCCTATGACTGTTAAGATAAATAAATAGGATTTTGCAAATAATCATAAGTATTAGGATATTTTTCAACAAAGTTTCAAATTTCTTTTCAAAATCATTAACACATAATAAATTTCTTACTTTCCAGAATTTCTGAATAAATTTCTTGAAATTTGCAGTACCAAGTTTTGATTTAAGTCTTTTTGGTAAATTTTATGATAAATGCTAAATATAATAAATATGATACGTATTTTTGTATGTGAGTTTATATGTTGCATTCATAGCTGAATTCATATTTGTAATAAAAACTTGTGATTCAGAATTAGTTGCATCTAGTGTCTGCTGCAATACCTATTCATAGCTTTCTTGTATTTCATCATTTAGAAAAGCTTGTATACCTAACTATGATTTACCTTCATTATCAATAAGAAGAATAATGATAAAGAATAATTGTACTTATTAGTTCTTAAAGTATTATCATATAATACAATATTAAAATAATGTGATCACAATATAATTTGATGTGTAATCATTCAAAAAACATCATATAATTTATTACTATCTTTATTAATTAATAGCTGGATAAATATGATAGATTTTTCCTTTTATTTATTAATAAGAAATTTTAATAAGCGAGATGCATCAAACTCACAAATACTTTTTTTTCACTTAATTTTCTGTATTGCATTAGAGAGATTCTGAGTAAAAAACAATTGATCAGGATATAATAGTTGGAATAAGTTTCTTATAGTATATGCATTATAATAACTATATATAACTGTATGCTTTATCTCAACTATTACATTTTCATCCAATCGTCTGAATACTATAGCAAATTTTACATCATTCGCATTGAATTTATGGTTATATTTAAAATAAGCAAAAGTTACATGCACATAATTAATACTTTCAGGCTTGTTTAAATTAATGTGTCATTTACAGTCTATCTTCTTTGATCCTTTATTCCATTGTTATTTAAGAGGTTTGAGCTTATTGGGCTTATACTTTTCTGCTTTTTCATAAGTAAGAGTTCATTTTTTAACTTTATTATTTTTATAATATTCAATTTAATATCACTTTATCACAAAACTTTTTACCTTTCATATTCCTTTAAATAATGTTCAACAGTTTCCCAAAAGGTAAACTGAGTTCTAACAGATAGATTGATAGGAGAATTTATTAGAGGATACTTTTCAAAGTCTAATCCTTTCAGCTCTAAACTAAGAATAGGTCCAATAGACATATGATCATTATCTCTTTCTTTATCTACAAAATTTTATTATATATGTATATACTTAAAATAAAACTTATTATTACAAATTAAAGTGGAATGGATAAATAATATAAACTAACTTAGATTACTTTCTTTAACTTCACGTAGAACTGTAATAATATTATTGTCTGAAAAAATATATTTAGTATTCTTAACGTTAAATTAACAACTTGTGACTTTATAACTAAAATAAAATAGCTTATACCAGTCTTTATATTTATTCTTGAAAATGTATCTGCGTGATAGTAAAAGTATATTTTAAGCTTTGCTAGCTGAACAAAAGGAAATATAAAATAGTTATATTTTACAAAGATGAAAAAATAGAGATTATTTCATTTTGATTTGGCTTGTATCGTATAAACAAATAGAACATGATAAATGAAATTTAATGAATATTAACTAGTTTAGATCTAACTTATAACATATATACAAATATTTAACTATATACGTAATCATATAATTAGAATGATAATATTGCATCTGCTACATAAAAATTAACTTTTAATTTAAATACTATTATAATTTTATCAATTATATTATATAATTTTATATTCTATTTTATTTAATATATTTATATTTTTATTATCATTATTATTATTTCTATCTAAATTTTATTTTTTATTTTTAAATAAAGAATTTTTATTTTCTTTTAAAGTTACAAATAATCTTTATTTAAATTTTTAATATTCTTTCTATTTTAAATAAAATGTAATTATAATAATAAAAATACTTATATTTTTATATCTAAAAATTTAACTAATTTTATTATATAATCCTATATAATTTGATAATAAGCAATTATCTGTATTACAAAATTTATTATTAGCAGTTTTTTTATTTTTATATTTATTTTTATATTAAAACTTAGAAAATAAAAATTATAATTATTTATCATTATTAATTTGCTTTATATTTCTTATAATTTAATAAATCTTATTAAATATTGAATAATAAAAATTTTTTTAAAGGTTTTAATTTATTAATTTAAGATTTAGCTAAATTTCTTAAATTATCAAATAAATTTTTAAAAAAAGCATTATTATTTTTTCAACATTAATAATTTTTATTTATTGAATAATTTATAATTCTAAATTGAATTTCTATTATTTAATATCTTAAAAAATTTTAACAAAATCAAATAATATTAAAAATTGGTAAATTATTTTTTAAAATTAATTATTAGATATTTTTGAGATTATAAATATATCACTTAAAATATAAGTAGTACTTTATTATAATTATAGTTTCTTAATCTTTGAAATAATATTTAAAATTTTATAATATTAACTGAATACAGTCGTCCCCCCTTATAGTCACCTCCTGTACAATCACGCCTCCCTTTTAGTCATATTGTTCGTTAGTCTGATTTTTTTTAATTATAAAATCACTCCTTTATAGTCACAATTACATTATAATCACTATCACGCTAATTTCTGGCCAA